GGAAAGGCAACAAAACTACACAGTGAAACCCTGTCTGGAAAATCCAAAGAAGAAGAAGGAGGAGGAGGAGGAGGCCCACGCCTTTAATCCCAGCACTTGGGAGGCAGAGGCAGGTGGATCTCTGTGAGTTCGAGGCCAGCCTGGTCTACAGAGCGAGATTCAGGACAGGCGCAAAGCTACACAGGGAAACCCTGTCTTGAAAACCAAACAAAACAAAGTGGGTAAGTCGTTCTCTCGAGCCCCAGAGTCCGCCTGTTGGTCCGGCTACACTGGCCGTTCTTTCATCGGTTAGAGGGAGGCAGAGCGGCCCTGTTCGTGTGGAAACCAGTCTGAGAGGTTGCTTTGTCTTCCTGGATCCCAGCCCGCCCCACACAGTGTCACTTTCTGCTTTGTGTTTCCGAAGCACATCTTACTGTGCCCTCATACCGCGTCAGGCATCACCCTCTGGCCCCTAAAGTGCGTCCCGTCACTCCAACGGGGGCACCTGGCATATGCACAGTGTATAGACAGAAAAATAGGTAATGGAACGCTTAAATTCTGTTGCGGGATATTTGATCACACTGTGAACCCCGAGACTGTGTTATTTACTGGGAAAACCTGTTTCTAGTTGTGGTGTGGCTCAGTCCTAGCACACACCTTTAGTCCAAGAGCTTTCTGCTTGAATATTGCAAACAGGATTAAATAAGGTCAACCATAGGTCAAGAGGCGGAGCCAGCAACCAGTTGACAGGAAGTGAATAAGAAAAAACATAGAGGGTAAGAGGGAGTGAGGAGGATGGAGAGAGAACCGCACAGGAAGTAGAAGGGAGGAGTTTGAGAAGAGTTCTTTTGTTTTTGTTTTTGTTTTTGTTTTTTTGAGACGGCATAGGAGAAAGGTCTTTTTCTGGGACATCAGAGGAGGAGGAAGGTCAGCTGGGTGCTTTCTCTGCCGCTCTGAGCTAGCAGGCTTTCACCCCAGCATCTGGCTCCTGAGTCTTTTTTTGGTAAAATCAAGCAACTGAGATTTTGTTAAAAAGACATAATTCTCAGTATATGCTGGGCTTGTTTTTAGGGAAAAAAAAATGAACAAGACAAATATGATGATATACACCTAGCTCTTCAGGAAGCTGAGGCAGGAGGATCCCTTGGATCCCAGAGTTCAAGATTGGCATGAGAAATATAGTCTGGTCTTACAAGGAAGAGGAAGATGGGGGAGGAGGAGAGGAAGAAAAAGAAGAAATAATGGCCAAGTCTTTCCAAGTGAGGCTGGAAAGTTGCGAGATGATGCTCATACCTGCTAGTGGTTAAACTGAAGAATGTTCCAGTACACTTTCACAGACAGTTAAAGCCAGTGAGTGTCCTCTGCTTCAACATCTCTCGGCTCGGGTCTCATTACTGCCAGGTCCAAGGCCCCTCTTCCCCCAAAATGGCAGCTGGTGACATTGTCCTAAACAGAAGGACTCTGGCCGGGGACACTGAAGGCTTGGCATGGGGTGATCAAGCCTAAGGATTTCTGGTTACTAGGAAAGTAGACCTCTAAGGTGGTTTCTGTGTGCCAGGAACCCCCCTTTATCACCCAGGAACCCTTCTTAACCCCCACCCCCCAGATGTCAATACCTCTGGCAAGGGCACCTAGTTCAAGGTCAACCTAGACAGCCTGTGTCCGCTCACACCCTCACCCTGCTGACTGTCATATAAAATCTCCCTGTGCAGTTTGGTCCCCAGTAAATCTTTCTTTCTGCCCGCACAGAGGTCTGGTTCGGTAGTTTCTCTACTCCATCGATTATAATCGTGAATGCAGTAATGAAAACAGGTTTACAATTTAGGATTTCTTCATAGCCAATGATCTGCCTCCAAAATAACCACTGTGTGAATCTCCTACAAAAATCCGCCCCAGTGTTTGCCATGCTTAGGGTAGTTCACTGTCAGGGCTGCCCTGACTCGGTGCATTCAAGTCGTCGTTCTCTGCCTCCCAGACCCATGTTGCATCATTTGATGGTGTCAATCTTTTGTTTGGTAGTATGCTTTCTTTAGATAACATTATATACTTCATGATTTATTCAGATGCCTCTTTCCTCTCCTAACCCCTTGCGGTCACTTCCTTTATGGCAAAGAGCTGAGATCAGTTTGGCATCAGGGATACCAAGTGTGAACAAAAAAGGTCTTAAAAGAAGCCGTGTCTGCAGAATGATTAGAATCTCAGTGCTGAGGGCTGGAGAGATGGCTCAGGGGTTAAGAGCCCTGACTGCTCTTCCAGAGGACCTGGGTTCAATTCCCAGCACCCACATGGCAGCTCACAACTGTCTGTAACTTCAGTTCCAGGGGACCCAGCACCCTTCACAGATGTACACACAAGTAAAACACCAATGCACATAAAATAAAAATAAATTGTATATATATAAAAGAATCTCAGTGCTGTGAAGAGGGTGGACAGTTGCAGGTCCAGAGGTTATTACCTTACATTGGGCCAGTTCTAGCCCTTAGAACAGCCATTCCTTGCTGACCTCAGTATCTGAACTACTGTCCTATAACTAATAGAAACCTTTTGGGTTCTACTAACTTAGCAGACTACTAGCTTCCACCAACCCATCATCAGATAGCAACTTGGGCCTATTGAAAAGTTCCCCTCATCTCAGTGTATGTACCCACCAATTTTATACTTGCCTTTGTTGTAGAATATTATTTTAAGATGTGTTACATTTGTTTATGCTGTGGAACATTTGTTTAATGATGCAAAGATGTGTTGCATTCTTTTATGTTGCATTTGTTTAACTCTGTGAAGCTGTGTTACTGTGCCTGCCTAAAACACCTGATTGTCTAATAAAGAGCTGAACGGCCAATAGTGAG